TGAACTATCTATCTACCTATTTATTCATTTATCTGAGAGACAAGTCTATGTTGCACCTCTGGCTAGCCTTGGTGAACTAATTATCTATTTGCTTATTTATTTTAGTAGACAGGGTTGCGCTATGCTTCACAGACTGGTCTTGAACTCCTGGCTTCAAGCAATCTCCTTGCCATGGCCTCCCAAAGTGCTGCAGTTACAGGCATAAGCCATCATGCCCAACCGGAACTAATACAGTGCCCAGACACACCATCCTTGAGCTCACTCATGCCTCTATACGTTTGCATCTGCTCTTCTCCTGCACAGTATGTTTCCTCTTTTGGCAGCTTGGCAAACTTGTTTAGTCTTCAAGACTTGGTTCAGAAGGGTCAGCTTTTCCTGGAAATCTCTGCCCTCCTTCTGACTCAGACAGAACCGGTTGCTCCCTTTTCTGTGCCTCTCATACATTCATCTGTTGTGGCATCCATCCATCCATCCACCCACCTACCCACCCACCCATTCACCTGTCCATCTACCCACCCACCTATCCACCCATCCCTCCATCTATCCATCATCTACCCACCTACCCACTCACCTATGCATCCATCCATCCACCCTTCACGCATTCACCCATTCACCCATCCATTCATCCGTCCATCTACCCTCCAACCTACTCACCTATCCATCCGTCCATCCGTCCATCCATCCATCCTCCCCCCCATGCACTCATCCATTCATCCTCCCATCTACCCACCCACCTACTCACCTATCCATCCGTCCATCCATCCATCCATCCACCCACCCATTCATCTATCCACCTGCCCATACGTTCATCCATCCATCCATCCACTCACCCACCTACTTATCCATCCGTCCATCCATCCATCCATCCATCCGCCCACCTATCTACCCATCCATTCACCAACCAGCTACCCATCCATCATCCATCCACCCACCCATCCTTTTATATTTATTGAACACCTATAGTGTGTATCTCTGATCATGCTGTTTTGAAGTTCTGAATGAGTCTGGGTTCCTGTAGACTAGCAGTTCTTCGTCTTCTGGGGGTCAAGGACACTGTCTCCCATCCCAGAAAAACCCACATATGCAGACGCATGCTGAATGCTGCTTTCCTCTCAGAGATCCTTGGGCATCCCTGAAGCCAGGCTGTGGCCCCAGGGTATGATGGACACTGTGATGCAGTGCTCAGACTCCACTTTGGGAGTGAAGACCTTATTCCCTAGTTGTGGGAGCACGGCTAGACAGCCCTCAGCTGTCAACCTCTTTGGGGACCCGCCCCACCCGAAGTCATGCCTCCATCCAAGGGCAGGCTCACTTCCAGTGACAGGCCAGAATCAGGGTGTGGAAACTTGAACCTCTCACTCCAACTTGGCCCAACTCTGAAAGGCCATCTCAGCTCTCAGGATCCCCTGGGGCTGACTGAGCCCTTTGCTGGGACTGCCTTGAAGCTCAATGTCCCCTCTGCCAAAACCTGCCTCCTTGTCCTCCCTTCCACAGGTGTGCTTCCCAAGACCACTTTCGAATAATGTCCTGCACTCTCATCTCCACCTCTGAGTCTACTTCTTAGAAAATCTGCTAGATTAAAAAGTCCTGCAGAAGCTCCTTGAGGACAGGGCCAGTGTCTTAATGACTTCTGTATCTCCAGCAGCTATTACTAGGCAGGACACATTGTACATGCTCCAGAAACATTTACTGAACGCACCTTAATGCATTTTCTTTTGGCTCCATGTTCTGTCCGTCTGTGGTCCCCAGCAGGAAAGCTCCCATCAGACATCCAGGAGACAGGGACGGCCCTTCCAGAAGGATGCCAGTGGGACTGGGGGCTGCAGGCCTGTTTCTGGGAAATGCACTAGCTGCCAAAGGAACTATAATTACCATGGGAACAGACATCAAGCTAACTGGTCACTACAAAGCAGGGCTGAAGGGGCCAGGCTGATGTCAGGTTGTACACTAAGGGTGAAGGCTCCGTGGATGGCTGGGAGGTTGGGGTGGCAGGAATGGGCGGCAGTGGTGAACAGCCTCTTCTTACAGGACAAAGCGTTTAGAAGCTAGAGCTTGTAAAAATCCCTGCTTCAGTTTCCACTATGAAAACTCCCTTCACAAAACAAGATCTACTAAGTGCCTCCCTCCTCTGTGCCAGGCATTGCAGCAAGGACAGGACCTCAGAGGGCCGGGCTCCAACGCTGGTCCCACTGCTCACCCACTTTGTCACTTGGGCATATTATGTGACATCCTCACTCCTGGCATTACTGAGTGGGGACGACATGCCGAGCATTGCGCATACCACTTCGCCTATGCTTTTATTTTTTTTGAGTTGAGGTCTTACTCTGCCACCCAGGCAGAAGTGCAGCGGCACAATCACAGGTTCACTGCAGCCTTGACCTCCTGGGCTCAGGCAATCCTCCCACCTCAGTCTCTTGAGTAGTTGGGACTACAGGCATGAGCCACCATGCCCAGCTAATTTTCGGTATTTTGTAGAGACAAGATCTCACTATGTTGCCCAGGCTGATCTCAAACTCCTGAGGTCAAGTGATCCTCCCAAAGTGCTGGGATTGCAGGCGTGAGCCACCATGCCCAGTTCACTTACACTATTTTATTTCACCTTCACATAGCTTCCTCAGGTGTGTATTGTAAGTCCTTCCTCACAGGCTCAGAGGTCAGCAACATGCCCAAGAGTGCACAGCACATGACAGGGCAGAGCGGGATGCTGCTCACGGTGTCCTCAGGCTGTGCTTTCAGCCACTGTCCTGCTCGACTTCCACTGCTATGAAGTAGGTCCAGCCGCTCCTATTGCACTGGGCTGTGAAGGACTCAGCACCTGATGGAAAGGGCTCGGGGTACCCAGCGAACAGTCTGCCGTTTCTTCCTCCCCATTCCCACTCTCCTGCCTCAACACTTCCCTGGGCTGGAGGCAGGATGGCTCCAAGGACAAATGTCTCCTGTCCCTAAGCCTGCCGAGTCGTCAGCACTCACTGAATGCTGTCAACCTAAATGGACGATCTGGAAGTTCCCACCCTCAGGTCTCTGAACTAAAATTGGGGACCCAATTCAGTCCATCACTCGTCAGACACGGAAGGCTGCAGAGGTGCCATGAGGTGAATCCTCTTGGTCTGTGTACCTCCAAACTCAAGCTGCTGGAGTTTCAGGTTTTTCACAGCAGAATGGAGCAGAACCACATGGAGATGATCCCTTGAGCCCTCAAGGCAGAAAAGGGTACCAGAATGAAGAGGAAGGTATACCAGGCCCTGTCTGATGGTCTCTCCCACGGGCAAATTCCAGCCCGGCTTCCCCCATCACACCACCACCGACAGACGTCCTTGTATATTGGGGGCATTCACTTTCTTCCCACCATGGGCTCCTGGGAGAGCGGTGGGCACGTAAGCACTTAAAACTCGAACCTCAGGGCAGCCCTCCTCTCCCTGCCCCCTTCTGCAGAAGACTTGGAGCTGGAGGCTGTGTAGGGACAGGCACCACAGCCCTGGAGAGACAAGTCACATCCTCAGCTTCCTTCAACCTGTGCAAGCACCGAGTTGCCATGGTGATGCTGCAGCCCTGAGATGCAATGGCTGCAGACAGCATGGGTGGTCCGAGGGCTCAGAGCCGAGGGTGGACGCTGGCCCGGGAGGCCAGGCGATTGGGTGGGCCAGGATGGGGAGGAGGAGATGGAACCCTCCTCTAGGCTCGGCCGGTAATTGCCGCTAAATGAGGGGCTGTCATTGAACCCAGCACATGAGAGGTAAGGGCTCCTGCTCTGCACCCTGTAATTACTGCACCAGACAGCAGCGCTTGCTCCCTGTGCGGGGAGGGGGGCGGTGGGGGAGCAGACAGGAAGCTCTCATCCACCTGAGCCAGCAGGGCTCTGGCAGGCTCTCCCGCCACCGAGCTGCCTGCATCCCAAGCAGCCTCTCAGATGGAGGAGGCCCCGGCCCCTCCTTGGCTATCTCTTGTCATACGGCTGGGGCTTGAGCTTCCTTTCATCCTGGCCTCTGAGCCTGCAGAATCAGAGGGAGGTACAGGACCAGGACCAGGACCAGGTAAGGCATGGCTCGGGAGCACCCTTGGGGCTACACCTCCATTTGCTGAGTCTGTGCTTAGAATCTGAATTAGAGGCAGATCTCAGTTGTAATTCCTCTGGAGCAGAGGCTCTGAGGCCTTGGGCTAGTCACTGCCTCCCCATGGGCCTCAGTCTCCCTAGCTGTAGAAGTGGAAGCTGGACTCAATAGCTCCTAAGCATTCTTCTAAAGCAGGGGCTGGCAAACCCTGCCAGTATGCCAAGTCAATCAGTTTCACTGCGACACAGCCACGCCCTTTTGTTTTGATGCTGTCTGTCTGCTTCCGTGCAACAATGGCAGAGTAGTTGCAACAGATGCCACAAGGTACCCAAACTGAAAATATTTACTATCTAGCCCTTTAGAAAGTTTGCAGGCCCGTTTCTAAGGTATGAAAGTTCTGAGGCTGAACCAGTGACTCCAAGCTGAGTAGAACAAGCTTACAAGTCCCCTCCTGGTCCCCACCCACAGACATCCACTGTCTTCTTCCAAGCACCCCTTTCCTGCCTGGGTTTGGATGGTGGTGGCAGGTCAGGCTGGGCTCTGGGAGCTGCAGTGTGGTACAATGGCGCCACCTGCTGCGAGCGCCTCACAGCACTTCTGCCTGGGAAGCCTTGGCCCCTGGGTCTCCAAGGCGAGGGAACCAGACCACACGGGCAGGCAGCTTGGACCATAGCCCCTCAGAGCTGGAGTGCTGGCCACCCGCTCCTCGCTTGAGAGAGAGGACTGCAGTCTAGAGCTGCAATGGGATTTGCCCAAGGTAAGAGAGTGGAAGGTTGGGTCCCAGGGGCCAGAACCCTTCCAGGAGGAGGCACGAAGCCGTCATGTGCAGGAAGGACACAGACACACATGGAGGCATGCAGACCCGACACGAATCCCAGTCCGCCACCCATCAAGAAGCTCTTTGTCTTTTCCAGGCTGTGGTCTCTTGGTTGTTGAAAGGATTAAAACAAACACTTATAGAGCATTTAATCTGTTACCAATACTGACTCACTTAATTTTCAGGACTCCGAGATAGCTATTTTCATCCCCATTTCACAGATTAAAAGACAAAAACACAAAAAAAGAAACAACTATGGCACAGACAGGTAATTTGCTTACGGTCACACAGCTAGTGGCACAGCCAGGACTCAAATCTAGGCTGTGAAAGCAAGTAGTCTTGAATGTGGTACTCAGTGAACAGCCATTTATTCCTGCCAGCAGGCACGGCGGGGCCCAGAGGAGAGGGCACTGCACTCAAACGGGCATGTAGGCCCGGCTCGTGACCAGTCACGTGAAACAGGCTCCAGGCAGGGAAAGCAGAGGGGAGGCCAGGCCCCCACCACCCCTCCCAGGCCCACACCTCCAGCAACACAGGCGGCCAGTGGACCATGAACCATTTATTTCCAAACTATAAATAAATCTGCTCTCTGAGAAAAGATGCTGTCCAGGTGATGAGGCCCCAGCCTCTCCAGCCCCCTTCCCTCTGGCTCTGCTGTCCAAACCCGATCCCCCTGGAAAGCCGATCTGCCTCTGAAATTAGCCTTGGCCGTCAGAGCCTGGCAAACAGCTGAGAACCAGCCCACTCCCTTCTCTCTGCGATTCCAGTGCAGCGTGGGCCTGGCTCCGCCAGGTTCCAGGCTGGCCTGGTACTTAGCCCATTTGATCAAGCTCTGAAAGGAGGGGCAGGAACCATGTGTCCCTGATCTGGCCCCAAGGCATGGTCACGCCCAGGCGACTCTGGTCCAGGTTCCCAGCTGCCGTGAAGAACTACCCATCCTGAGCGCTGCGAGTGCTAGCAGCATGGCGGGCGGGGGAGAGGCCTGCCTCCACACTGCAGTGTCTGGCTGGTCACTGCTGCCCCTGGGCCACAAAGTACTCCTCCTCATTGTCATCGTCCTCCCGCTGGCTGCTCCGCAGCAGCAGCTCCAGGTCAGGGCTGGAGCCCTTTGAGGGTTTAGGGCCACCATCACCTTGAATAGAGAGAGACCACAGACCCAAAATTGGTTTTCTTTTTTGAGTTGAAGCTCACTCTGTCGCCCAGACAGGAGTGCCGTGGCACGCTCCGGCCACCGCAGTCTTGACCTGCTAGGTCCGGCGATCCTTCTGCCTCAGCCTTCCAAGTAGCTGGAACTACAGGTGCGTGCTACCACGCCCAGCTCATTTTTTTTTTTTTTGATTACGGACTGAGCCACCAAGCCTGGCTACAAAATTGGTTTTCTTGGTTTGCCCTGCTGTGCGCCTGTGCTGAGCTACCCAGGCCCGCCACCCACTCTCTGGAGGTGACCCCTATGTATTCCCAGTAATGGCAGCTGAACCACCAGGCACACTTCCTGAATCACAGCAACAGCCAGTGCAGATCAGTGTAGACAGCTGCCAGACTGGAACTGCTCTGGACAGGCTGAAAGTCACTTGGCTCTTCCTGGCAGGGCTGGATTTCGAGGAGCGTGACATCAGAAGACAGAGGCTTCCGGGGGGGCTCTGGGTTACCTTTTGAGTGCAGGGCCTTGAGGGCAACGTGCAGGGATATTCCTGAGAGGCAGAGGGCAAATCCCAGCCAGTTCAGGAGGCTGATCTGATCGCCCAGCAGATGAGCTGCCAACAGCAGAGTGCAGACTTCCTGGGGGCAGAGAAACAAGAAGGGGGGTGAGCGGGGGGGTTTGGCTCTTGGCAAGGAGGGTGGAGGGCGGGGCACTGGATTCTCCTAAGAGAGACCTGGACCAGCCCCAACTCCTGGGCCCAGGCAGAGCGGAAGGGTCGGGGAGTTGGCTGGCCCACAATGCTGTCCTGCCAGTCTTCCTCTATGTCACTGAGACGCAACCAAGGAGGAGTGTTCAGGAATAAGAAGCAAACCAGACGCTGCTGGGGCACAGGAGGTCCGGCCCACACCACAGTCAGCAGGCACCACTGAGAAAGCCCCCAGCTTCCATGGGAGTACGTCATGTTACTCTGGACTCGGGACACAACGGTGACTGCAAATGGGACTGAGGCCATTCATTCCAGAACCACAGCCTCAGGGAAGCCTGCATTTCTGAGTCTGGGGGATACTGCTCTGGTATTGGTGTCTGCCTGGTCAAAGTGAAAACCCTGTTTGTGGCCCTGAGCAGGGAGGAGTGGAGCAATGTGGAGAAGGGGAAGGTAGGAGTGACAAGAAGAGACTGAGGGGGTAAGAACAGGAAGAGTGGCAGTAAAGCAAGACTGGCCAGGTGGGGCCCTCACAGTGCTGTAACTAGCCCGGCTGTGCCTGCGGAAGACATTGCCAATCAATGACAGAACTATGGATGAGTCTGGATGGGGGCTTCTCAAGCTGGGGCTCCAGGTCACTGCCAAATGACTGAAGTCAGCCGTCCAGGTAAGATGTTAGTGATCCAGGCCTAATAAGTCCTGGCTTTGAAGCCCTCACTCTCCATGCCTCCCCCTCTATGGAGTGGGGTGATTATGCCCATGCACGGGGCTGCAGCGAAGGCGGAAGGGAACGTGAGCACAGCACTTGGCACACCTGGCACCTAACGGGGCAATTCTGTCCCTTCTCTGCAGGGCCCTAGGGTGCAGGAGCTGGGATGGAAGCTCCTAGTGAGAGCACCCTTAGGAAGCACCCCCCAAAACAGGATTGGAGTACTCAGTGTCCATACCTTAAAAATGCCAGCAATGGAGAGAGTGAGGCTGGAGGTCCTGGAGACCAAGAGGAACTCAGAGAAGCCCAAACCAAAGGCGAGAATCCCGCCAAGGAAGAGGCTCCCGAGAACCCGCAGGAGCAGCCCTGTGTCTTGGAAACGGAAGATTTTCTCAGATGTGGACAAATGGAGACCTGGAAGCAATGAGGAAAGAGAGTGGGTGGCCAGGTCCTGGGCTGCCTAGGGGGTCCTACGTGTCAATCACATGAGGCCATCACCGCAGCGAGCTCTTAGGAGCATGGCTGACTGTGCTGACCATCTGCGGCCTTGAGAAAAGGGACAGGAGGGATAAAATGGCACCACGCAGAGAGATGGAGATGTGGGGAAACCGGGGAAGCAATGTCAGCTGCCAGAGAGCCCTGGGGCAATACACACTCGAGGTGACAGGGAGGGCTCACTGAGCCTCTGGGTAAAGTCGAGAGGGTGGCACTGCACAGAGCTGGATGAAGTGCCCTGCTCCTGCAGACAGTATCTCCCTACTGGTCTGAGGTGGGGAAAGGGGGGTGATTTCATGTGGTCTCTGTAGCTGTGATCACTAATGGGCCGAAGAGAGGCAGGGTAGCCATCAAGTGAGAACTGACAACACCCTGGTCCACTAGGGGAGTTCCATCAGTCTGTTTCACCCAGGCCACCTACTACCAGGGACAAAATCCGATCCCTATAAGCCTCCATTTTAATCTAAGTCTTCTATTATAGAGCTGTGGGACTTGGGCCGAGTATGTCCCCTTTCTAGACCCCAGTTTCCCTACCAATAAATGAGAGGTCTGAGACCAGGCAAGCAATGTAATCTTTCTGAAACATTTTCCAAAAAAAAAATACAAACATATATGACAAAAGCCACAGCCCCTTGCTCCAGAAACACCCCCACACACATATACCCCCTAGATTTTATTTAGACTTTCAGATGAGTCAAGGCCCCATCAACACTGCCCCTTGGGGAGGAGTCCCCAGGTCCCTCCCACAGGAAGGTCCCAAAGTCTATCAGCAAGGGGTGAACTGGGCACAACAGAGATACCTGTGGGGGCTGGAGGCTGGACCAGTGCTTTGAGATTTTTGGAGGGAAGTACAGAAATGCAGAGTGACAGTCCCCCTACTGCCCCCGGCAAAACAGTCTCACGATGTAGGACATCTTGTTTGGTGCTGGGCTCAGCAGTACTGCAAAGGCGTTGGCAAATTGAAGGGAATTCGGGGAAGAGCCACATAAGTAATGAAGGCGCTTGGGGGATTAATTTACCAGAAAAGATTAGAGTTAAATCCATGCAGCTTTGCTGAGTGACAACTAGCAGGTGCTTTCAGATGAGGTTCTGCAGAGAAGGGGCATGGTGTAAACACCCAGGCAGGGAGGGAGAGTGTGGCCTCTGGTACGGGGGCATGATGAAGGCAGGGGGAGATTTCGCAAAGGAAAAAAAATGAGGCCCTGAACTGAAGTTTCCTGGACAACGGGGCTGTGAAGCAATTTCTCAGGAAGGTTCAAGATGCTTCACTGCTTGAAACTTAAATGAATGTGGAAGAGAATTTTCTGTAATGACCCTGAGGACAGACGGGACTCTGGAAGGGGATAAACAAAGACTAATCCCAAAACATCAAAGGAAGGAAGGTGCCACCTGGCCTCCCGGCCTACACACTCCCTGCCTCTCTGCTGGATGACACTGGAGGGAACAACTGCTCAGGCCCACAGGCTCCTACGTGCTGGTCCCTGGCCCTGGCCCCCTTCTTCCCTGAACATACAATCTGATGTTACATGCCTGGACACGGTGAGCCTCCTCTTCCCACTTCCTGGACGCCCTGACCCCTCAGCCTACCCAAATCTCACTCATCCTCCCAGATACATGGTCTGGGAAGGCTTTATGATTTGCCTCACTGAAACAATGCCTGACTCCCTGCTCCTTCTTGGAGGTGGCATGGTTAAACATTGTGGTTAAGAGTAGAGCTGAACTACTTGGAGTCAGGCTGCTGGTTCCAAATTCTGGCTCGTTTATGGCCTGTGGTACCCTGGGCAAGTTATCTGTACTTCTTTGTGCCTCAGTTTCTTCCACCTGCAAAATGGGAATAATATACTGCCACATAAGGTTTCCTGGAGGATTAGATGAACTGGTATGTTCAGAAAGATGAGAAAAGTCCTGGCAACCTGTAGGGTTCTGTACACATTCCCTGTGATTACTGGCCCTGGATTTTACATATGCTTTCCCTGCAGCATTGATCATGCTGGATTCTAGCCACTTCCTTTACGTGTCTGTCTTGTCCCCAAATCATGTACTGCCAGGGGAGGGGCTGTATCTTTGATCTTGATAACCTCTGCAGTTACCTCTGTGCTGGGATCAGGGCAGGGATCTGGGATCTATTGTGCCGAGGTACCCCTAGGGGGATGGTCCAACGTACCTTCAAATACGGCAAAGAGAGGAAAGAGCCCCAGAAACATGAGCGGCTGCAGGTGGAACATGGTGTCGATGGGGTTCTGGAGGCCTGCAGTGGGGGATGTAGCGCATCAGGTCTGGCCCAGCCCTGCACCGCCTCCACCCTCCTGTGCCTGGCCCCTCCCCAGGTGGAGAAGTGGCCTGTGCTTACCAAGTTCAGCCTTCTGCAGGAGCATCTGGGTGAGGGTCCAGCGGATGCCACCGATGAATGAGGCCCCCAGCACCAAGGCGAAGCCCTCCACGTTGAACTGTGTGGACTTGTAGGTGAACATGAAGAGACCCCCGGCGATGAGGAGGACCACCAGGACCAGTGCCGCACGCTAGGAGGATGGGGGGCAGTGGTAGCTAACTTGGGGGTCTCCAGGTCAAGAGCTCATGATGCCTGGAGTTTGGGATCAGCAGCCTTCTTGGCTGCCTCTGGGGTAAGCAGGTCTTGTACTCTCAGGCCCAGCCTGGACCGTCCTCATCTGACGCATTCAGGGCTGACATTCAGCTGGCATGCCAACACCCCTACTTGCTCTACAACACCGATGTGCTTTCTGCCAGCTGTCCTAGGCCCTAAGTGGTCCCATCCCCTCCCTGGGCCCAGCAAACAGGGCTGCAGCCTTGCACAGAGCCCCTGCTCTGCCTGGAGCCTCACCTGGGGTACTTCTCCTTGGGCCACCGCTCTGCCACACCATTTCTGAATATTCTGAATACTGTCCCTGTGTCTAGGTCCCTTTTCAGTACTACCACCTGGGCTGGGTCTGTCACCTGGGTCACACAGAGTGAGATGCCACTGCTCAGAGTCTTTTATTCTTAGCAGCATCTGCAAGGGTAGGAGGGACAAAAGGAGCCTCACCAGCTCCTCCAGCTTGAAGATCAGAGAGAAGATCAAGATGAAGAGGACGGCTGAGGATTTGGTCATTGTGTACCTGGAAAAAAATTACCCACAATGCACTGCTGGAGCTCAAGGCGCAGACTCACTGCCAAGAAAGGAGCCCAGAGTACAAATGAGGGCTGGAAAGGAGGAGGGATATAGACCCTGAGGGCAAACGACCGAAAGGAGCCAGGCTGAGTTATGTGATAATGACCTATAATCCGAAGGAGTCTGACTGTGCAGCCTCTGATTATCACCAGGGAGAAGAAGCAGGTCTGACACTGAGCTTGCCCAGTGGAGCCCAGGACAGGGAAGGAAGGATGAGGTAAGGGAGAACAAGGAGGCAGGGCCTGCGCTCTCTGAAGCAAGACATCAGAGTGGAGCACTAATTCAGATGCCCTAGCCCACATGAGGCTCTGAGGCACGGTGTGCATTGCACTCCTGCAGCTCCCTCTCCCCTGCTCTGGTGCTGAGGGCTGGATGAGCTCCTGGCTCCCTCATGCTGCCTGGCAGGTGGGCACAGCATCCCCTCTGTGCTGGATGTACAGAAGAGGCCGGTGACTTTCCAGAGAGCTGCTGGGTACCGAGGAGCTGAGAAAGCAAGGGCTGGTCCCATAGAGAGGCCGAGTGGCTGGCGCATCGGCCGGTGAGCAGACAGTGCAGCCAGACAGAAAGCCTGCGCCTGAAGGGAGGTGGAGGGGCGTGGCTGGCACTCACAGTGAGACGGTGATGTAGAGGAAGCTCCAGTTGGACAAGCCCACGTCAAGCGCCGTTGCCAGTGCTGCGGAGACAAGAGGCACCTGCCGGGTGGTGTGGATGCTCATCCGGGGCAGGCCTATACCTGAGGCATCTCCTTTTGTACTTTCCCAATCTCTCTCTGGGGCCCTCAGGCCTTCATATCCACCCAGCAAAGAAAGTGCTAACACCTGGCCACAAAAAGGGGTGGTGGGGAGGGCTGCTCTGCATTAGGACTGGAGCTTACTCTGACCGGTGAGGCCCCTGCTGCCCCATGTGTTACATGTTCTGACCAACCCCTGACAGGGGTGTGATCAATTCTGCCAATCTCTTACTGAAGACCTTTTTCCCTCAGGACAGAACACGAGCTCCTCAACAGGGGACCCGGCTCCTCGACCAACCCTTGTTTCTCATCTCCCCCACTTCCTCTCAGCAGCACCGAGTTCTCAGCATCCTGAGATGCTTTCAGTTCCTTTCCAGATCCCACACCCCACACTAAACCTCCCTCGGCGCATGACTACCTCTCCTCCCAGGACTGGTCAGCCCCAAACATCTTTCTGGCATCGGCATCGGCCTACTCAACACTTGACCCAAAAGATCTTGTGCAACCAGCTACAGCCCCAGGTCTTAGCTCTGTTCCCCTCCTTGTGCTCCATGGCACCCCCATGTCCCCGACACAGCTAGGCGAGGGCAGGGACCCTGCCAGCTCACCACCTGTCTCCGGCCCCAGTATCTGTCCTGGGGTGAGGAAGCCGCAAGACAACTGCTGCAGCAGGGCTTCTGTGAATGTGTGGAGGTAAGAGGGGAAGATGGAACATGCTTGAGGCAGCAGTAGGGGTGAGAGGAGGCCAGGCAGAAGGGTGAGGGGGCACAGGGTGGGGAGAGGGGAGGCCTCGGCTTCAAGGCCACGTGGGCTTCTTTGCTGTCCTCAGCCCACAACTTCCCAGCAGCTCCCTCCTGCCTGCGGCCCCGCCTCACGTACCTGTGGGAGCCACCCTTCTGAGGTAGTCGGTCCAGCTCAGCACCACACGGGCCCTGTGGCTGGAGCACTGAACCAGCGCCCGGGACAGGGCAGAGAAGAGGAAGATCACGGCCAGGTGCAGCATCGTCATGAAGAGGGGGAAATGGAAGCTCTGTGCGGAGCCCAAAGCAGACCCCCCCCAGTCTCAGTTTAGATGACCGCCCCCCACTGGCTCCTTCCTCCTCGCCTCTCTGGCAGCCATGGGCTTATTCAGTGGTTCAGGAGGCTTTGCGGGGCATGAGGGGCCCTTAGCTGCTGCAGGATGTCACTTGGAATGAGAGGCTATTAGTTCCAATTTGGGAAGTCACACAGTGAGGTGGCAGTCTAGGTGCAACTCCTAGGTGCTGTCTCCACTTCAACACACACGCTGGCTACCTGTGCAGCCCTCCCTATGACCACACCCAGGTAAGTACCACTGTGGGCAACTATGCTATCTATTATTAAAATACTGCAATCCTTCTTGCCAGGGGGTGAACAGCTGCTGCCATGGGCCCTAAGCTCCCCAGCACATCCCACCCCCCATTCCTTATTTCCCCAAGATCTAAGCATCTAAGGGGAAACCTGGCACGGCAGATGTGGCAGGCACTGCTCCATCAGCAGGTATGACTGACTCCAGTTGGGCTGGTTGATGCCTGTGCCTTCCTGTCATCACACTGAGGGGGCACTGCAGTCATGACTATGGACAGCCACCATCATCCCAGCCCCATCCCAGCAAGGCCCCGGTTACCTTGGTCAGCCATTTGTTGTAGAAGGTGATGCCGATAGAGAAGCAATAGTAGAGAAGGACCAGCCCCAGTGTCAACAGTGCCTTCCACACAAAGGCCACGTCGACGGCCCACCTCCCCATCCGTGGAGGCCCAATCCCTAGCTCCAGGTCAGTGGGGCAGATGCCTCTTTTGAAGACAGCGCTGCTGGAGCAAGACCAGAACCTTCACCGAGAGTGTCTCTTGGCTGCAGGCATTCTCTTTGCCTCCATGATTTGGAGCTCCCTGTGGATTCCTCACCTCAGGGGCTGGTGGCTGCAACCGAACCTTTCCATGGTCAATTGGATGCAGGGTTCACAGGTCTCCAGGTCTGATGCTGGAAAAAAGAAAAAACACTCTGAGACAGGGGCAGAGACCACGCCTCTCGCAGCCTTGCGCCAGGGAAGCTGCTCTGGCTGCCCCAGACCAGGCCCACAGGGAGCAGGTCTGAGCAGACCAAGCAGCAAGGAGGAGTCTACACCCTGCACAGGCAATCACAGAAGTGTGTCATGTCCACTTGTCACCTTATGCTGTTTTTCATGAACTGCCACCAAAGTGACCTTTAAAAACGTAAATCTGATCATGTCAGACCACTGCTCAAAACCCTTGGTTTCCAGTGCTCTTCTGATAAAGACCAGAACTGGTCCTGGGGCGCCCAAGGCCCTGATCTGGCCCCGCCAGTCTTTCCCATCTCAGCCAGAGGCTCTCTGGGCCCTAGCCCCACCGCCACCTTTCAGTTCCCCAAGCACGCCAGGCCCTTTCCAGCCAACTGAAAAAATTGAAGGCACTCTCTGCCCACCCTTCGGTCCCGCCTCATTGATCTTATGTATCTTCAGCTCAAGAGTCACTTCCTCGGGCTCCTCCCTGGCCCTGATCCGCCGCCCCTGAGATACAGATGGCTCTCACAGTTCCCCTTCTTCTCCTTCACAGCACTTGTGCAGGTGTGATTTAAGCAACACCTGCATCCTCTGTGAGGTAAGAGCTCCATGAGACAGGGACCAGAGTGTCCACACTGGTCTTACCCACACCTGGTATATTTTAAGTTCCCCATTTGGTTTGATGATGGACAGAACGCATGCGTATGATCTTCAGGGCTCTGGACTGGTCTTCAGGAGTTAAAAATGGAGCAGGAAACCAAGAGCCATCTTGCCCTAGCTCTAACAACTGCTCCCACAGAGGTAAGGCCTGCCTTGGGGTCTTGCCAAACTAAGCCACTCCAGGCTTTCCATCAATCCAGTCAGCCCTAGTGAGTGCCCAGAGCACACCAGGCTCAGGTGAAACTGGACACACCTGTCTGCACCTGGAGGAGTGCTGGGTCCAGCGTTATCATACCTGCTGCTTCATGTGTTCCCTCCTCCATATCTTTGAGACATTCCCACCCTGCTGATATGGCACCTCCTTCTTGAAGCCTTCTTAGAACCTTCTGATTGGATATCTGCCCTCTGCCCCCACCAGTCCTTTCTGAAGTGAGTAATTACATTCTGTTCTGAACTTTGGAACCTGTTATCATTTTCCCTCCCCAAGGGAGCTAGCACAAGGCTGTCCAAAGGACTCCCTAGGGCTCTAGTTCTCTTCGGAGGAGCTTTGGAGACTATGGTGGTGTTTTGGGGGGGACACTCCTGGCATTTAGTGACCACAGTGGGGTAGTCCCAATAATTAAGAAGTGTTCTGCATTCTGCATGACTCTGATGTCCACACAGGTGAATCCAGAACCCAACTCTGATTTATATGTAAACACAGAGCAGTTTTTCCGTGGTTCTACTAAGAACCAAAATTTCCAAGAATACAATGACCATGCACATTAAGGGGAAACAACTGTAAAAATGGTCTCATGAGTTCCCATTCTGGAAAAACCACCTCATCTACGCATGGCCCACGTGATTTTTGAGCTGTCAACACAACACGGCTGTATCAGTCTGCATTTGTGGCCATCACACTCCTGGAGGATCTAGAAAGCGGAAAGCACCAGGACTGCACTCTGACTTCTAGTGTGGCTGTGCCCAGGAGCTGACACACTGAAACACATTTTACTGTTAATTACTTTACTTTTATATTATAGTTAGGGCATTGTAAGTTTTTAAAAAAGTATGTATAGGCAGTTGTTATTAACCATAAGTTTCATTTCAGGATAATAAAAGGTGTTTTTATAAAATGTCTGTAATAAAAAGGTATGTTGGATCCAATGGGTTGAGTCACTGTTCCACCTGACCCAGCACAGTCTCACTCCTTGGAATGCAGCCTGTGAGCTGACGTCACCCAGTGTGCATCCCAGCTCTGACTCCCCGGGAGCCCTCAAAGAATACTCAACTGCCTACTTGACCTCCTCCTTGGATACCTAATATCACACATCCCACATCCAGAGTGTCCAAAGCTGACTCCATCCTCCATCCAAACTTGTTTCTCTTCCCACTTCCCATCTCAGCAACTGGCCCCACCAACAACCAGCTGCCCAGGCCAAAACCTTATTTTCATTCTCGACTCCTCTTTTCCTCAGTCACATTCAGTCAACAAATACTGTCAGCTCCATCTTCAAAAATATCCCAAATGTGATCTTCTGGCCTCCACCCTCTCCCTGATGACTATGGGAGTCTCCCATGTGGCTCCCTCTGCTTCTCCTGAATCCCAGCCAGGCTCCTGTTTACACAGCAAGTGAGGCACACGGGTATTAGACCCATGCTTCACAGGTCCCACAGTCGCAGCCTTTCTTGACACCAGGGTTTCTCAATCATGGCAACACTGATATTTGGGATGTGAAAATCCTCTGTGGGGAGGCCTGTTCTGTTCACTGGGCGATGTTTAGCAGAGTCCCTGGCCCCTACCTACTAGATGCCTGCCTCAACCCCCGCCCCCGACTCCTAGTTGTAACAACCAAGAATGTCTCCAGGCACTGGCAAACGTCATCTGGGGATCAAAACTGCTCCCTGCTGAGAACCACTGTTGACCCTATACCGGCAACCACGGGGCACACTGGCACCAAGAGAGCTTCTTCTGAGCACTCTCCCCCTATGGGTCTTTCCTGGGGCTTCCACGGCAGGGCAATCTGTTCACCGTTCTGTGAACCAAATTCCTCACCTTCTGCTTTTGCAGCTCTTGCTCTAACACTGCAGTGCCCTCTCTCCAATGTTCAAACCCCATCCTCCCTCCACAGACCCAGCCCAGGTCTCCTGCCTCTAAGAAGTCCCCTTGACTACTCTAGCACTGTCTCAAAGTTAACTAATTTTCTTATTAGCATTCAGAAGATCACCTATTCACAAACACAAAACCAAACAACTACCAAACCACAAAACCCAACCTCATCTAGCCACTTACTAAGTGGTCATTTGTCAAACACCCTTGTATCCCTAGCATTAAAGATACAGACATGAAATTGATTAGGTCTCCACCCTTATTTTATGGTAAGGGATACCAAGCTTAAAGGGGTAAATGCTCTTTTTGAATTCTCAATTGCCCAAGAAAGGAATTCCATAGTATGTCTCACTTTCTCTGGGGAGCATTTAGCTGGGAGCAGCACCTGCACCAGGGCAGGAGTGGTGCCGCCCTGTACTACCTGCTACCTTCAAACTCCCCAACCACAATGTAGGCAATGGGTCCTACTGCTTAAAAGCATGGGCTTTGGTATCAGAGACCTAGGATTGAATCCTGGTGCCTCTACTTACCCCTGTACGACTCGAAGCTACTTGACCTCTGGATTCAGTTTCTCCAGCTGTAGAGGGTGATTAAAAAAAAAAAATCTGCCTCCTGGGGAGGGAAGTCACCAGCTTTAGGTACAGCACTAAAGGCCGACTCATGGGAGGGGGTTACTCCTGTCCTGGTCCCCTTAGAGCAGTGGTCCCCAATCTTTTTGGCATCAAACCAGTTTCATGGAAGACAATTTTTCCACAGAGAGGGAAAAGGGGAGGGGAGGTGGAGGGGGAGTATCATCAGCCATTAGATTCTATTAAGGCGTGCAACCTAGATCCCTCCAATGCACATTTCACGACAGAGTTTGCGCGCCTATGAGAATCTACTGCGGGCTGATCTGACAGGAGGCAGAGCTCCACTCACCTCCAGCTGTGCAGCCCAGTTCCTAACAGGCCACCAACTGCTGGTACTGGTCTGTGGCCTGGGGGTTGGGGACTCCTGCCTTAGAACAAGACTTCCCTAGAGGGCCCTGCACTGCCAGCCCCACTCCCTCACCTCCCACTCTCACTTCAGCTTGTTTCCCCTGCCTCAATGAGTCACCACACCCCACTCCCTGTTACTCCTCTAAGGGCCAAGTCTCTATTCTCATCTTACGCAACTGACCACTTTCTCCTCCTGGAAAAACACCTTCTCTTGGGTGCCACAACACCACACTCTCCTGGTTTGTCTTCTGCTTTTCTGCACACCTCCTCTTCAACTCACCTTGAGTACCTGAGGCTTGAACCCTGGCTCCTCTTCTCTAAGTCTCACTAAGTGATCTCCTCCTACTCAATCCACTTGCCAATGCTTTCTAAATTCTTTACCTAGCCCTGATTTTGTCAGTGAATGCCAGAGTAGTCTATTAACTGCCTACTTGGTAGCTTCACCCAAAATATTTAAAACTTCAGGTGCCCTAAGAAGATTTCTTAATCCTTTAAGACTTCTTAAATATTCCCCAACCTATCCCAAAGTCACGTAGTAACTGCGAGCACAATACACCAGGTCACTTAAGCCAAACACCCACATCAACGAAGTCATCTGTGACCACCCTCCTTCCTTAGATGATGCCCTGTCAGTTCCACCTTCCATGCTCTTCTAGACCCATCTACGTCCCTTCACCCACGCTCATCACTGCAGTCTGTCTTTCACCTACCGAATGCAACTGGTCTCCTAGTTGGTCTCCCTCTTTCCTCTTTCGCCCCTACAGCCTGGAATCTACAAAGCAGCTCAGAGATGACTTAAGAACCCAGACAAGACGGTGCACTGATGAAGCTACACCCAACCCAGCGCAGTCCACAGGAAGGCTTCCCACGATCTGGCTTCTGATGACCTCTGCACACCCCTGTGGCCAGCACCTGCCGCAGTGGCCTCCTGCCATGTGTCACACCCATCAAGTCTGGCCCCGTTTTCATACCTGCTGTTCTCTCTGCCTACTGCACCCTTCCGCAGATCTCTGCTGGGCTGAATGCTTTCCCACCCCCCCATCCGTCCTCGTGGCACTTCCCACCAAGTGACGTTTTCTTGTTTGCTCACGTGTTCACTGTCTGCCCCACCCCCACGGCGGGATGCGGCCTCTCCGCGGGCAGGGCCTGGCACGTCGCAGGTGATCAGTAAAGCCCAGAGGAACCGGCGCCTGGAGTCCCATGTACCCCCACCACAGACGGGGAAACAGACCTGGGAAGAAGCAGGAGAATGGGTGTGTCCCACTGGAGCCCGCCCCCCGCCTCCAGCCCCGGGTCACCCCGCCTCTGTCAGCACGCGGCGCTTACTCACCACGGCCTGGGACTCTCCCAGTAGGAATCCTCCCGCCGGAAGTGCGGGGCAGGACGTTGCTGCCGCGCCGCGGGATGGGCGGTGACTTCCGCCGGAAGCCCCTGAGGGGATGGGTGGAGCCGGGGCGAGGCGGGACGGAGCCCGGGCGCAGCGTCCGGTGTGGTCCTGTCTTTCACATTCTCTGCGTCCACACGCAACACGGTTCCGTCCTCCGCGAGTCCTGCCAGCGCTGAGCGCAGCCATGTGTTGCAATTGTTTATCTCTCCTGCGCTCAAGCAGGGGCTTGATCTGGAGCCCCGGTGCCTGCTAGTATTCTGCACACAGCGAGCATACAAAAAAATGGTCATCTATCAACTTTTATTGAACAAATTGTTTTTCTTATGTCCAGTCCAGTGCTGGGCAACTGTGGAACGGACCTCGAAGATAAGTATCTCATGAGCTTTCTCTGGGAGTTCAAACCATCAAGGGAATGGTGTCAGGGGCATTAATTACATTTTAAGACGTAGGAACGAGAATATTCAAGAGGAAAAGAAAATTGAATTAAAAAAAAATGTAAGATGCAGGAGATCCAGTACTAATAAACATTTGTGAACTATTTTGTGTGCGTGAAACTTTATAAGAATTTTCTCCATTTCAGTACGTCGACTAGGGAGGGAGGATCTCAGGCAGAGATGGAAGAAACCTAAAAGAGGGGGTGAGCAGTCTCCAGCTGTGTTGGAGCCCAGGTTATTTATAACTATGGTGGCTAAATGGCCAGGGAGTGGGTTGCAGTGGCCCCAAAATGCCAGCCTAGGGAATTCATCTTGCAGGATGGATTAAAAGGGGCAGCATTTGCAGCCAAAGGAGGACATTAGGCCAGGGCAAGTTAGGCTTGCACATTCAGGCCATTTTGCGCTTGTTGTTCCTCCTGGGCTCTCTGGCACTAAGACCGACTGCATACACAGATCCTTGCAAGTGACTCAGCTGGACTCCCTGGCCCCTCTGAACAGAGTGTAAGCAGTGCTTTGTGCAACTGCTGCTGTCGCCACCGCCAGCTGGCATCATGCAGGCATGAGTTCATTCAGTGCTTACCAAGCACCTACAATGGTACTGATCACTGCCCAAGGTCTTGGCTTTTATTCAGTCCTCAAGGCCTGTATTGCATGCACTTTCTATGCCTTTTGAAAGAGCTTGTCTTCACTCCCTTCTCTCTCAGCAGCAAGAGAAAGTATTTATTTTCATAACTGCCCTCATTCAAACCTCCCAGCTACCAAGGCCAAGGTTTGGAGCAACAGCCTAAAACACCAGCTGTAAGGCTGGGCACTAAGCACAGGCAACACACAGGGTGAAGAGCGTGTCTTCTTTGTACGGCACAAGTACTCGAGCTGTTCCCTGGCTGTGTCCCTGGCAGGGAGAAGAGGAAGGACGTGTTCATGGGGGTGTACAGTATGCCTTCCATCCTGCTGTACCCAGCAGGGCTGAGCAGAAAACACTTTGTCCTTGTGCAGCAATCTGTGAGCATCCTTAAGCAGCAGGTGTGTGTCTGTGTGTGGTAGTGCTGGGGGGGGGAGGACAGGGTGGATAATGAGGAGAAAGGGACTCTTGGAAGGTGGCTGAGGGCTCCAGCTGGAGCTCTCCTGTCTCCTAGACACACTGAAGTGAAGGCTTGCCAAGGTGAAGTTTCCACCCCTCTCCAGGGAGCAAGTGCAGAGAAACAGCTGTTAACGGGAACCACAGTTTGTACATGAAAGAGTATTTATTGAAAACATGGTTACTGACAGGAAGCTCCTGGCGGCTCTCTAGATACAATCTTGACTCACAACTGGAAGTGCTACTTTTCTTTCCCTCAATTTAATCTTCCCCAAACATTCCAACCTAGGATAGGTAGATCTTATATAAATATATATACACGTCTGTATAAGTATGGCCTATAGTAAAGAAAATATATAGTACACTCTTCATTGGGTAGTACCTACCATGCCAGCCTACCAATACTGAATGCTACTGTGCTAACGTACGTCCAAGGAGAGAGGCCACGCATGTGGTTTGCAAGTGCGGCAGCACCAGGGAAGCCCCATTGGCACAGCTGCAGCCTCAGTGGCCTCAGCCAGCTCCCTGAAATCATGGCCAATGGCAGATACCACAGCGCTAGGAAGAAAGGGAAGGGAAGGGAAACTTCCTGGTATCTGGAAGGCCAAAGGAAAACAAACTTTGTAGGGGAGGGGATAGGGAGGGGAAGGCTGCAATTCAGGTTAGGTGGAAGATTTCTCGAGGAATGAAAGGATATAAATGTGGGGGAAGGGGATGAACTCTCGTGACCTCACCAGAGTCCAGGTCCAGGCCCCAGTTGGGCTTTCCCTGCAGTGTTCCTGGAGACGAAGAGGGCGGACTTAGCTTGGAGGTCTTTGACTTGCCAGGATGAGACTGAGAGCTTGTAGGGAGACACTTCCATCTGCCCTGATAACTGCATGGGCAAGAGATCTAGTGGCTCTAGAGACCAGAGATGTCAGAGCTAGAACTCAGAAGCAGCAACATCTTGGCACCATGTGAGGCTAGAGTCAGCCCTCCTGAAAAAGACAAAAGTGAAGGCCCAAGGCCTGTACTGAGATCTGAGACACAGGCATGGGCTGCCAAAGGCAGTCACTCCAAGGCTCTCAACATGCCCAGCACATCTGTTCTCTGCAGGCAGCCTTTCTTGGGCCAGTTCTTGTCCATGTGGGGATCCAGCTGACCAGAGAGCAGGCTTAGGAAGAAAAGGTGAGTGGCTGTTGTTATATCCATTTCAGGAAGGAGTTTCTTGGGCCAGAAGGCAAGGGCTTCTGCTGTTCATTCCTCATGGCCCGATCCCAGGCTTCACGGTGATGTGGAGGGCAGAGCACCCTGCCTTCACGACTCTTAGTGGACGGACCAAGAGGAAACTCTGGGTGGTCCAAGATGGGTTTGAGAAATGGCTGGCATTTACTGGCCACCAAAATCACTACAGATTCTGTACAAGCAAAAGACAAGGCACCAGATTGTGAGTGTTTCTCCTGGGCCCAAAATCCCTTTCCCTGGGTACCACTGTCTCTGGCTCCAGGCTCAACCATAGTGATAGACAAAGTCATAGCTGCTGGGCTCCTTGGGGACAGGGGGTGGGGCTTCAGGAATCTGGATGTTCTCTAGGTCCAGGAGCCGCAGCTTCATCTCCATGCTCAGTAGGGTGTCCAGGTCACTCTTGGTCAACTCACTGGACATGTCCTTCCCCAGAAGGGCACTGAGGCCATCAATCCAGATGCAGTACTGTGGGGAACAAGTTGTAAAATGTCACATGGTGGCCTCTGGTCAGCAGGAGATCCTGCCAAGTGTCAAGGTCTCTTTCCTGGTGGGACTCACAACAGTCCCTGTTGGAATTGTTCAGTATAGACAAAACTGATTTGGAATACTAGCAAAGATAAATTAGGAGGTAATCACACAATTTCTCAAACATCTGGTTTTTTATGAGGGGGTTTACTTTAAAACTCCTTACAATAATATGACCTTAAAATGTAGTTGATGAATACAGCAAAGTGAGACCTGAGAACTGGGGCATCACCTACCTGACGTTGCCTCCAAATTTGGAAATGGGAGGGAAATATACATTAGGTGAAAAAAGCAAGACACTCATAGGAATCACTGTGGTATCTCAATTTAAAAAAAAGTCAGTTGAAAGAATGCCAGCCAGTAATTGTTAAAAAACAAGTACTAAAGAAACTGAACTGGAGGGTAAAGAAACTGGACCGGAGAGTCCTGTGCTAAGAAGGGGAATAGCCAAGATGTCTTCTCAACTACCCCTCAGCTCCTCCTGCTGTTTTCCTTTCTCTGTGCCTTTGCTCATTTGGTTCCTCACCTACTTGTTTTTCATTTCCTCCCAACAAAGTTCCACCAGCAGCATCTCAGGCCTGGCCTAAGAGTCTCCTCTCCCAGAAGCCCCACTCTAGTTCCCACTGATGGCTCTTAGAGCTCACCAGGCATGCAGGATCTCAACTGCAGTTACTCATTTAGTATCTAGGATCTTCCAGTGCTGTAAATAGAAGTGTAAGGCCCTTGTTAGAAGAACTGGACCATCTGGCTTCAGAATCGACTAGATCCACTACAACATGTGACTGGGAGTCCCAGGAGAGAGGATCTGTCAAGTTCTCTTGAGTAACTGGCTATGGAGAAACTGAAAAGAGGAGACTTTCTGAGTCCTCAGCAAATGAGTTATCCCCGATTGACCCCATCTTTCTAATGACAACCTATGGCTGCAGTTGAAGAGCAATGTGGAGACCCTAGCTCAGGGGTGAGAGGCCCACAGCGTGACAGGTGGTTGGTGTCCTACAGTCTTCATGATACACTGTGGCCACCTGCCACAGGGGACGTTCCTGTTCTACCCACTCCTCCCTCCAGCTGAAGAATCATGGAGCGGGCTCTGTTGTCTAAGTGCCACACAGCTCACCTCATACTTATTAGGTGCAATGAAGTTTAAGGTCTCATCAGGGTCATACAGGATGGAGAAGGCCAATTCCAACACCTCCTGAATGAGAAAGGGTTTCCATTACTTAGAGCAAGGGAATGGCTTGGGCTCTGCACACCAAGATCTTGGCCAAAGTCCTAGTAACCTGGCACCATCACTAAATGTACTGATTCAGATGTGATGTCATCAAGGCCCCTCAGCAGGCACACAGTGTGGCTGGAGATGAAGCTCATATTAATTAACTTACCCATTCCCCACCCAAGTCACACCTAAGATGTGGTAATACTTTCAATACTGAAAAAAAGTCAATGAATGTCAGAGTCCATGACTGTAAGTTACCCTAAAAGTTCTTCTATATTACCAAGATGATTGATTTTCTCTATCATGCTGTAATTGGTATAGTAATACCTTAACTGTTTAAAAAAAAATAGACACACACAAAAACAAATTGTGGACAAATATGAGACTTAAGCATCAACAAAGTATGTGACTGTAATGGACTGAAACAAATGTAATTTACTTAAATCCTTGAGTTCCTAATAATAGTAAGAAACAGCAGAACACACAAAATTGGCCATTGTTTCAACAATACTATAGAATTAGCTCGTACATAAAAGAAGAATCAAGCATGTATCTCCCTTTCTTATATGAACTGTACCACTGGGAAACCAATAGTAGATAAGGGCAAGTTTCTCTTCAGAGAAGTAGTTAAACTCATAAATGAAAAGGAATGACTGTGTTCAAATATCACTAGTTTGCAAGTCTGTGTTGACTAATGGAATGAGGCATTGTGTACCAACAGTCCGCTAACATCACAAAAAGAGAGACAACAAGACATTTTGTGTCTCTTGATAGAACATAATGCCATCTATGATGTCGTCTTGCCAGAAAAAGTTAAACCTGAACTGGGTCAAACCTCTAGATTCCTCTGCCAATGTAGGGGTCTGGAACAGAGGAACAAGTTAAACAGTAGCTTGGGGAAATAATCAAACAACCTCTGTGTCTTCAACTAATAAACTGCAAAAAGAAAACAGACAGAAAAAATGGAGGGGAATTTATGAATTAAGAAACTTAAAAGACTAATCACAATGTGTAGCCCTTATTTGGATCCTGGTTTAAATAAGATGGGTATGAATGTGTGTATATATATTCACTTATAAACATTTATATATTTTTAGAGGCAATTGGTAGAAATTCAAACACCAATGGAATATTTGATATTGAACAACTACCCAAGTACCAACTACTTTTATTTACTGTTATGTGTAACAATGGTACTGCAGTTATGTTAACTGAGTCTCTATATTTTAGAGCTATATACTAAATACAGATAAAACAGTATGATACTTGGGACTTTCTTCAAAGTAATAAGGGAGAGGAATCAGTGGATGGGCAGAATTTGCCATGGTGGCTGAGTCTGGGTGATGCATTTATTTATTTTTGTGTATATCCAAAATTCTTCTTAATAAAACATTCAGGAATAATTTAAAGAGAGAGGAGAAGAAAGCGAGAACACCTAAGAAACCCTCCCTGCTGACTGTATTCTCCAGGTGTCACTGTGACGGACACACACACTTGCCTCTGCACTCACCTTGTTCTGCTTCAGAGCACTTTTCTCTTTCATGTGGGGACAATCTTTTCCAGTAACAATGGCCTTAATGTCTGCAACAGGAACTGAGAAGTGATGGGAATTAGCCTCTGGAGGCCCACACTGCAAGCTGGTCAGTGCCTGCTTCAGTGCTGGAAGAGACGTGCTGGGGTAACGCCCAGGAAGCCTCAGTCCCTAAACTCAAAGGGCGGCATGGGCTCAGCAAGGGTGGGAGTGGAAGGTGGCCTTGTACTGGACCCTCCTCCTTGGGTACTTTCCTGTGGACCATGGCCTTATAAGGCTGGGTCAGAGTTAAGTGGGGGATGTTTCAGGGCTCTTGGATTTACCTCCCCAAGGACTGGAGCCTTGGACACTCACTTCCCCTCCCCTTCACAACAATGGAGATGACAATGCCACCAGAGCACACAGCAGTGGCAGCTAACAGTTATGCTGATGGCCTGTAGCCTCTGTTTTTAAGTGTGTCACATATATGACTCATGCAGTCCTCTTAGGGGGAAGTGTGGTAATTATTCCCATTTTACAGAAGAAACTAAGGGAGAAGGGAGAACTAACTTGCAATTAACTGCAATCCACAGCTAAATAGGGGCAAAGCCAGGATTTGAATTCAGGCAGTCTGGCTCCAGAGCTTCTGTTCTTACTTCTCTTTCAATGCAGTATTGTACCAGCCTTTGTGATCCACACAACACTCTGATATCTGTGATCATGTTAATTCTCAAAACAACCCTGTGGGGTAGGCCAGGAAGAGACCATCTCCAACAGGTAAGGAAACAGGTCCAGAGGGATAATGGGTGCAAGACCAAGCAGTCTGCAACAGTCAGGACTACAACTCAGGGCTCCTGATGAGTTCAGTTACCAGGCACATCAACAGAGAAATGAACCTACTTTTCTCCTGCAGGGATTCGAATGTCACCTCCCCTTGCGGGTTGTCATCCAGGTCACCATAGTGCAGCACCTTGTGGTTCAGTGCCAAGCGGCAGTACCAGAACCGTTCTGGAACACAGGGGAAGCCAGCAGGTGAGCAAGGACAGTTCTGGGAAAGCAAGATGTTGGCCTGTGGCCCGCCTGCTCCCTGCAGGGTCATCTAAGCAAGCTCCTCCTGGCAGCAGGGGGAGTGGCTGTGGGGACCAGCCTGGTGCCTGCAGACCCTCACCTTGCCTTCGACGGTTCCCGATCTTGCGGAAGCTGCTGCCCTCACAGAGCCGGTTGAGGCGCTGCTGCTTGATCAGCTCAAGGATCTCAGGCTGGATCTTCTCCCGCAGCTCCCTGGTATGGACATGCCCAGAGTGAGCAGAAAGTCATGGGAACAGCAGAGCTCTGGAAGGCAAGCAAAGCTGGCAGCCGCCTCCCCCACCAACCTCCTCTGGAATGGCACTTACACAATTGGTGGGGACTGGAAGTCATCCTGACTCATCCTCTCAGACTGGCGCAGTCGTAGAATCTCAGAGTAGCTCAGGCTACGCAGTTTGCTCTTGAACTGATCCAAAGAGTTGGGTTTGGAGGGCAGAGCTCGAGTGATCTGCTCTCGGACTACCTGCATAACCTAAGAGGAAAAGAAGGGAGCTGATTCATGCCACTGCTCTGAGAAACAGATGGGCTGATTCTGCAGCACCAAGGCTCTCTCCTACTCGGTGTCTTCAGCAGAGCAGGCACTTACAGACATGTGCTGGGTGAATAAAAGGTGGCTATTCAGGTGAAATGACTGACTAACAATGACAACTGACAATGACAGATGTTTTATTTTTCATATTTCAATTAGTTAGTGTGTGGGGAAATGAGCATAGGTTTTTAGAATCAGAAATGGGATCAGATCTTGACTCTGTCCTTTAATCTGTTCCTTGAGCAAGTCACTTAACACTCTCAGGCCTCCACCTACTCATCTTTAAAATGAAAGAAAGACAGACACATCTTCTGATATGTGCTCCCATAAAGAATGTGAGGTGCTACATGGAAGGCAAGCACAGTGCCTGGCATGCTGTGATGTGTTACAAAACGTATTAGTTTCCCTAAAACAACAACTGTTAAAGAAAAAAAACAGGATACCACACTGTGTGTGGCAGGATCTCACTTATGAAGGAAAAATCTATAGGAAAAAGAAGACTAGAGGAAAACGTGAAAATGGTTGTTGCTGGGTGGTAGAATTACAGGCAACTTTTTCTTCTTTATACTTCCCAAATTTTTAATGATGAGATGATCAAAACACTCAAGCCCTAGCTTCTCAGCTTCTGAGGGCCTGGTGTGGTGTTCAGCATAGAGTGAGTAGTCAGGAAGCACCAAGGGATGATTTGATTAAGCACCCTGGACATGCCCATCATCAGTGTACCCTCATCTCTCCTAACACTCCCAGTTGACAAAATGACAGCAGGTCCTGCATACAGGAAGTGCTCAATAAGCCTCAGCTACTCTTGCTATGCTTAGTTTCCTATTCCTTAAGGAGGACAGGAATGGCAGGGGCTGGCTTCAATGGGCAAATGAGGGCCTAGGGCACCAAGGGGAAGACACCTCCACAAGGTTACAGATGAAGCAACAACCAGATGGGCCTGAGGCTCTCCAATGCCTCCATCCTGTGACTCAGCTCTGCAGACCAAGCTGCTCTTCCAACTCAGGGATTCTCCAGGCGCTGGCCAGCTGTCAGAGGCTGCCGTGTGATGCAGTCTCCTTGCATGGGCCTTAGAGTAGCTCAGAGGTACTGACCTTGTTGAAGTCCTCTGCTGTTGCCCTCATCTCCTTCCAGGTCTTGTTCAACAGCTGGATGCAGATTCCAAAGAGCTCTTCAAACGCTCGGTCGTGGGTAAAGAACATCGGGTGGTAGTCGTTGCGTCCTTCATTTGCTGCGGAAGTAAAGAAACAGGGAAAGAATGAGGCTTCTGCCCACAGGGGTCTGAGCGCTCATGTTCAGAAACTGGATTCTCTTTACCAAAGTCCTGAGGAATAAAAGCAGATCAAAGACTGTGGCTAATGAGGAGTGCAGGGTGGGCTCCACTTCCTTAGCTTTCTTCTCGGTCCACCTCTGCCCTGTTACAGACTCAGCTAGCTCTAACCATAGAGATGGGTAGCTTTGGAATACAGTTCAAACTGCCAGCTCAAAGAAGCTACAGCCATGATTCCATAAACAAGGATAAGATGAATTTCAGTGCATGCAGTGATTTTAAAGAAACAGCAACAAAACCCATATAAGGTTGTCCAGTCCCAATGACATGTCATTGTGTATAATCCTTAGTCTTACTAGGCTCATGACAGGGGGTGGCCAGAGGAGGAGGGGCAGCATGGAGACTTACGCAGTTCTCCAACCTGCAGGATTTCACAGAGCATTTTGGTGAGCTCAATGGCACTGCGGCCAAAGGGGCATTCATGTTTGTCTTCTCGGCTGCTGTTCTCCAAGACAATCTGTGGGAGAGGTGGAAAGGGAGAATTAGGGAGGTGAGGGAGGAAGGTGACAGATGTGACACCAGGACCCAGAAGGCCAGCTCCCTTGCCTTACCCGGATATAGGTGTCCTGGTGGACTTTAGCCAAGTACAGCATGTTGTCCAAAGCCAGCATTCCAGGAGGTGTCTGGGTAAAGTCCATGGCTGGGTTGATGTGATTCTGGAGAAATAAAGACACCAACTTGAGACTTGGTAGTCTCCCTCCATGCAGTGTGACCCAAGGGAGCCCTCTCACCCCTCTCTATGCTGCCAGCACTTGGCAACTCCTGTGTCCTTGCTCTCTTCATGTCCATTTCCTCTACTGAACTGTGAGCTCCTAAGCTCTGGCCGCCTCATGGTATATCCCAGCACCTAGTGTGCTGCCAGTCACCGAGTAGGTGGTGTGCAATAAATACTTATTCAAATTAACGCCATCCTCAAGCCACATTGTATCACAAAATATTCCCACTAGCTTTGTAGAGAACCTAGCTGCTTTAGCAAGAGGACAGGTCCCCTCTACCCACTTTGGCCTCCAGGGTTGTTTCACGGGGCCAAATGGTGCTTATAAACTTGCAAACCAAGCATCAAGTCCCCCCGCCCCATTTCTTACTGTCACCTATTCCAGGGCCACCATTATGGAAGGGGGTTGTCAGAGGTCCCCGTCAGGGGAGAAGGGCTGCCACCATCCATGCTTTGGGTACTTACAGTAAATCCTAGCATTTTGTAGTCCTTGGTGTACATGGCTTTGCGTTTTTCAGTCCCACTCCCGGGAACATTGTTTGAGTCAGACTCTGCATCAAATGCAATCCTCCTCAGTTCAAATATAATGTCTCTCTGAGCCTGAGAGGTGAAAAGGACAGTCAGCAGATGAACCAGCTAGCCAAGTAAAGCAAGGAAAGTAAACAGTGGGTCAGGTTTCTTGGGCCAAACTCTGGCCCCAATCAATACCTAAGGAGGCATCACTTTTACCAAAGCAGGATAGAACTGGGTGTGGAAAATAGAGAGTCACCCTGCAGGTGCAGGTCAGGTTAGATTTTTCAGAGCAGATGCCAACTACTTCTGCAAACAAAGACCAAGCACAGTGCCTGGCACATAGAATAGGGATGAACTGCACCACAGCATGAGCAAACTGTACATGACATCAACCAGAAAGGCCATGGCCCACTTGGCACCTACTTGGTCATTGGGGTCCATCTTAGTCATCATTCTTTCTTCCAGAAGGTTAAAGGTCAAGACTTGGAGAACATAAAGCTGATGGGCCATCTCAGTTTTGATTGGGCGGTTCCCTCGGATCACATGCTAGAAAAAGCAAAGGCAGGAAGCAGGGGACTGAAATGGTTGTCCCTTTTGCTGAAGAGCCACATCCATGCTAGAGAGGGACTATGCCAGGCAGGGAACAGAACTTTCCTCCCACACATGGACTTCATGTTCTAAAAGGGAGGGAGTATGAATGGCTCAGTTCAGGCAGAAATGATTCACCACAGGCCTGAAGGGTGCCATCCCTCCCTGGCACTCCCCTGGGCAGGGGAAGGGGAATGAATAATTCGCTCTCTCTTTCTCCTGTCATTCTATATATATTCCCCTCGCTGCATCCCCCACACAAGTCTCTTTCTTGCCTCTAACTTGTACTCCCCACTATGTGCCCCTATCCATCATCACCTCTTCTTTTGTCCCTTGATGTCCACCCCGACTTTAGGTCCTTTTGTTCTCTCTCATCTGTCTGTCTGTCCCTTGCATGCTCTATGTCCCTCTGTCTGTCCTGGCTGATCAACACTTGATCATGCTCATGTCGCTCACTATCCTGTTCTCGCTCCTTGCTCTTGCTTTCCATCTCACTCCCCGTCTCACCCACAATCATGAATCCTGCCACTCTTGGTTCTTTCTGACCCAAACAAGACTGCCACTCAGTTTCTTGAATTCCCTGCCTCTGTGTCCTTCATAGTCTCCTACTCAGTAGTTCTGTGTCTCTAGGACTGTGCTGTCCAGGAGAGTGGCCACTAGCCATATACAGTTATCTGCATTTAAATCAGTTAAAACTAATTTAAGTCCGTAATTCCAGCTACTTGGAAAGCTGAGGCAGAAGGATCGCCGGAGCCCAGCAGGTCGAGGCTGCAGTGGCTGGGAGCGGCCACCGCACTTCAGTCTGGGCGACAGAGTGAGACTCCAACTCAAAAAAAACCCACAAAACTAATTTAAGTTAAAAATTCAGTTCCTCAGTTGCACCAACCACTTTAAGTGTTCAACAACAGTCACATGTAGGTAGTGGCTACCGCAGTGCAGTGTAGACGCAGAACATTTCCATTCATATAGAAAGTTCTACCAAACATCACTGTTCTAACACTCTCAAACTCTAGACTATTCTTTTTAAAGCCCCCTCGAACTTTGGGTCAGCTCTCTCTAGAGCTTGCTCTGGCTCTAGATCAATCTCTTTAGACCTGCACAATCCAATTTTGCAGCTACCAGGCCCATGGAATGTGGTTAGTCCCAATTGAGATGCTCTTTGAGTGTAAGCGCACACCAGATCTTGATGACTTAGTAGAAAAAAAGAAAATGTAAAATATCTCATTTAAAATGTTTTACATTTATTACTTGTTGAAATGACAGTGTTTTGGTTATCTGGGGTTAAGTAAAATATATTATTGAACTTAATTTTCCCTATTCTTTTTCAGTGTTGCTACTAGAACACTTAAACCCTGACCCATGGCTGGGTCAGCATTTCTACTGGACAGCCCTGCTCTAGGCCTCTTCCCACTGTAAGGCTCTGGAGCTCTCTCCCTTCTCCTCTCTTTTGCGAGATCTGCACTGCCCAGTACAGTGGTCACAAGCCACATGTGGCATTTACATTTATTTATTTATTTATTATTATTATTTTTTTGAGTTGGAGTCTCACTCTGTTGCCCAGACTGAAGTGCAGTGGCCGCTCTCGGCCACCGCAGCCTTGACCTGCTGGGCTCTGGCGATCCTTCCGCCTAAGCCTTCCAAGTAGCCGGAATTATAGGCATGAGCTACCACGCCTGGCTGATTTTTTGATTTATTGTAGAGATGATGAGGTCTCGCTGCCCAGGCGGGTCTCGAATCTGCGGGGTCAGGCAATCCACTCACCTCAGCCTCCCAAAAGCACAGGCTGAGCCACCAAGCCCGGAGGCATTTACATTTAAACAGAAAGTAAAATAACGGATTCAGTTCCATAGCCACACTAGACTCATTTCAAGTGCTCAAGGGCCACACATGGCTGGTGGCTACCATTCTGGACAGCACGTCCATAAGCCAGAGGGTGTGCAACCTCTGCCCATACCCCTCCCTCTGATGGGAGACAGTGTCCAGCCCTCCATCTCCTTCTAGGTCAAGGGCATGCCCTCTCTGTCTCTTGAGCAGATCTCTTTTCTTAGCTCAGTCTCAGTGTTGCTCTCAGCTCCTCAAACTTCCTTTCTCGTTCTCAATTCTGTCCCCACCTCCAGTTTCCCTTTCCCTCCTCTCTCCCCAGTCTCTCTCATGGCCCAGGGGCTCCACCTCCACTGCCATGTCTCATCCCCACCCCTACACACAGCCTTTTCTTCTCCTTTGTTCCCTCTTGCACCATCCCGATTTCTCCCTACTGCCTACCCCATTCCTTCCTTCCTGCTTTTCATTCATTTTAATGCTCTTTCTTAAACTTAAGAAGCATAATGGCAAAAGGTAGTTAACTGCTCTAGCCATCAGTGGCTTAAAGTACAGCTCCAGTCTGTTGAGTTATACTTTCAGAAGTTTTACCTGCAGTCATTTTTTTTTTTTTTGAGTTGGAGTCTCACTCTGTCGCCCAGGCTGGAGTACAGTGGCATGCTGCTCATGGCCACTGCAGCCTCGAACTGCTGGGCTAAGGCAATCTTTCTGCCTTAGCCTTCCAAGTAGCTGGAACTACAGGCGTGTGCAACTATGTCCAGCTAATTTCTCTTGATTTATTGTAGAGATGAGGTCTCACCAAGTTGCCCAGGCTGGTCTCGAATCCTCTCACCTCAGTCTCCCAGTGTTAGGATTATAGGCAAGCCACCAGGCCTGGCCTTAGCTACAGTCTTATTTGACTATCAAGTATCTCAGGACCTAAGTTCTCTGCAACTCAGTGAAATCCCTGGACTTCAGTGCCAGAATGAGTCATTTCCTGCCAGACCACTTAAGTCCTGAGTTTTGATGCTGAGCTGCTTTCTATAGTGGAATCTCTACTTGTTCACAGGGTTTTTCCAGAAATGAGCTAAACTTCTAACTCCATTAAGGTAAATAATAAGACAAACATAACTGAATTTCCCTCAGAGGGTACCCTTACTCCTACACACGCAGAGGAGGGTGCCCAGACAGCTTCTCAGGATCGTAGACAGGAATGCATGGGAACCTGTGCACTCCCTCTCACCTGTGGGCATTGTTCTAGCATTTACTCACGCCCCTCCTGCCAGACTGGTGGCTGGTGTGACCAGGGAAGCAGCCAGCAGGGAGGAGCCAGTTCTGCAAGGTGAAGTCTGGCAGCCTCTACTGTTTTGAGCAGCTGACTGCTCAGCTTGGCAAGTGCTCAGAGCTTACTTCTGTAGTTCTGTCATCTCTGCGTCCTATCCTGCCAATTCAAGCAGAGGCTTACCTAAGTGCTAGATGCCCTACTGAGCACGGTACACACACAAGCTCATTTAGTCGTCACGTCCAGATGAACACGAGTTCAGAAAATTTAAGTGGATTCCTCAAGATCAAAGACTGGGAAACCACATTCAGCATTATTAATTCTTTTAAACCTGACTTCCAATTTTTCATTTTTCTTCCTTCCCTGTGGTCTCCCAGCATTCCCTTGTTTTTGACAACTGATAAAACTGCTTTCTGCAATCCCCCTACTGGGAATATATCCTGAAGAACTCAAATCACTCTATAAAAAAGATACCTGCACACGTATGTTTATCGCAGCATTGTTCACAATAGCAAGAACCTGGAAGCAACCATGCTGCCCATCAAAAGAGGACTGACTTTAAAAAATGTGGTACATATTCGTGATGGAATACTACGCAGCCATAAAAAAGAACAAAATCATGAATTTCGCAGCAACCTGGATGGAACTAGAGTCTATAATACTGAGTGAC